ATTGAAAGCATGATGAATTTTCTAACAATTCATGCCGAAAGCTAATCTTTTAGTATATATTTTCAATTACTGAATTTAATAGAAAATAAGTATGCGAGGAAAATTGTAAATTGTAAGACATGTCAGAAAATTCTGTAGATAATAATTACGCAACTAAAGGGAAAGTATTTCTTCGAATCACGAAGGAACACTAACTTCTTAAGATCGATCGTACGATTGAGCACGTTCCAAATTGTAATTTCGTAATTAGTGAATGTAGAGAGAAAAAGTATAAGTATCGTAAAAGAGCATCGTACGCACTAAACATCCAGCACCTCCAGACTAAGATGTATAGAGATTAATGTAAATGTGTTAAATGAGAATATTTTTCAACGTAATTTGTCAAAACTTTTTGGATGTATGTTACGGGCTCGAGAACACAATCGCATAAGTCAACCGATCATGAAAATTACAAGTTCTTCTGTGTACTCTCCGATTTGTATTAATTCGATTGGCTTTATTCCCTTTGTCACTTCTTATCTTACCGGATTACGCGCGGATAAATGTTTATTGGCGCGTTTCCCAGACAGTTGTACCACCAGATTATTGTATAGAGATTCTCTCGCGTAGTAAAAGAATTCGTCACCGGCGAGTAAAAATGCTCAACCGAATAATCCCCCTCAAGATTATGTGTTCAGAAAAGATACGTTAAACTGTCTGCGACATCGTTAGCGATAAGATTCAGAGATCTATTCAGAAAATAATATAATCATTCTACCAATTATATATACATATAATTATAAATGTATATTTCATGTATATTCGTTTTTAAAAATACAGTAAAACCACCATTGTATCGACATACCGTTCGAACTTTGCGCCCAACATTTCCACTTGAATTTTTTTCGTTTAAGAGCGTTGGCTAAAAAAAAATAAAAGTTAAATAGAATAGTCGTGCATAAAGATTAGAGTATACACTATACAGTATATATTTAATATATATGGTTGGAATTTTTTTATTAGAAAATAATTAGTGTAATTATCTGATATAAAGATATACTTACATTATATATGAAATTAATTCTTTGTTATTAATAACAAAGCTCTTTAGATGCGACCTACTATATATGATATCATTTGTTTCATGAATTGAAATCTTATTTGAGAAGTGTTATTAAATGGAAGATAATAAATTTTGTGTTTATCCTCTCGATTTCAAAATTTGTATCAAATTAGATTTTATAATCAGTCAAAATGTGTATGTCTTCATTGATAAGAACATAGACTTTTCTCCTGACTTCGATCATTTAGAGAATCAATATGAGGTAAGCTGATTTAAAATATATTTTATAATTATAATTGGCCAAGAGCTTTTCTTTTTGCAATGTCGTGATATACTTTTACATATACTTTCGGAGAATATCTAGACTTTTGTATTCTACTTTTGATAGACATTATTTCAATAGGTGTAAGAAAAGATAATAATTTTTGTATTGTAGGTGTCTTTTCATATTGCATGGCTTGTTTTTTATGTCGAAGTAGAGATGATTGTTCAGCAATTAATCTCACTCGTTTTAGCCTTGATATCTTTTTTCTATGATGTAATTTGAATGTTTCTGTCATTGAATTGATCTCTTCAGTATGCTCGTTTAGTGAAGTTTGCAACGACTGATTAAACAAACAAAGCTCTGCTTCTTCCGGAGCATCTGGAGCATCTTCGAATAATGTAATTTGATTTGATACTTCCATTATAGTTTGATTTTCTGTTTTATTCTCTTTTATTTCCTTCTTTGTTTCCTCCTTGGTAAATATATTTGTGTTCGCAGTTTGTGATTTCGTTTGATTTAAGTTAGGTGCATTAGAAACCGACTTGTTCGGCAAATTCAAAGAAGGCATTACACCGCGTTTCAACTTTCTGATTCTGAAGGTTACTAAATAATCATCGTCTGCAAAATGCCGATAACACACTGTGCATTTGCTTATTTGCTCGTCAGTCAGATGCTGAATTTTTTCAGAATAAATCATGGTTTTCCATTTCTGAAAGAGGACCGGATTTTTGGGAATCTGATGGGATGGGGCATCTCCTCCCGAAGGACATCCCAGAACGCAACATGCCCTACCCATAATCTAAAACGAGATATGTGCCTATATATAATATATAATATGCCTTATTAAAAAAAGCGCATTTATTCACTTATCTACAATTGTCTTTATAATATCTGAAAACTCACGCTAATAACAAATATTTTCAAATAATTTTAAAATTGGCGAATAACCTCAAAATTCCAAATCTTGTTTATAGTCTTCTTATGATACACATCGTGCGACTGAGCTCGGTTGCTTTCGAAAATTGATGGTAGATGGCGACAAATAAATGACTCGACAGCGCGAGAGTCCGTCTATTTTTTTCAACAGAATTAGAGAGGAACCTGAGGTTCCTCTCTGACAGAATGCACGTTTTACCGCCAATACTCAAAATTTAAAATATAAAGGCCTCCAATATCGAGAGAAAAAGATGAAAGATGAACGATGTAAGTTTAGTTAAAAAGAATCTTATATGACACAAACTATATATTTTTAATTTTGGCAGTGAATTTTGAAATACAGATATATACATATATATTGATGCAATATAGGATCGCAGATATCCTATGATAACCATTAATCAGATAACCATTAATCAGACAGATTCTTCAGGCTATTTGAAAAAAAATCCAAACACAGACTATAATCAAGTAAAAATTATTCATATATAATTATATATAAAATATGTATCCACATATACAAATATATAATTACACATGATTATATATAATTTTATATGAATATATATATATATATATATATATATATATATTCTATATATAATATAT